ATAAACACAACATAGGACACGGAAGTAAGCACTCTCTCATTTCGTAACAAAGGTTACTATAATGATTTTAGGGAATCAAAGTATGTTTTTTAAACATATTTAAAACATTTAAAACTTTCTTACCTTTCCGACGTCGACGTTCATGGCACTCAGTCTTCCTTTCTTGGACAGAATCCTACGAGCCTCGTCAGTTTCACAGCTGTTCAGTGGTGTTTGACCATTTTTGTTTGCTAGCTTTGGATCTGCACCGATATCTACCAACAACAGCAGCATTTCTCTTAAGATCTCGACTTCTTCAGGCTCAGCAGGTTTAAACTTTACAGCTAGATGGAGAGGTGTGTTTCCCTCGGTGTTAACTGCATTTACATCCCCCCCTGCATGTAAAATAAACTTCATGGTCTCAACACAGGGAAGCTTGCACACTCCTCGCACCTTGCCTTCTTTAATTGGAGTTTCGTGCCACGCAGCCAAGTGTAGTAGAGTATTTCCATCACTGCAACAAGGGTTTAAACGCAGGAATCTTTGAAGAAAGTCAGTCATGTTGGCATTTTGAACTTTAACTTTGGTGTATATCATCAAAAGATACAGAGCATAATAAAGGGTTTTTTCTTGTTCCTCGCTTTCATATCCCTCTTGTAATTTTTCTGTCCGTTTCTCACTTGCAGCAACTAGTATTTCGAATACTTCTTCAATGAAGTTTGGTCTTAAAAGTTTTCTTTTTTGCACCATTTCTGCAAATACATATGTGTAGAGTTCAAGATCTTTTATAATTGAAACATCGTTGTTCGTGGCTTTCTCCATCGCTCGTTTCCACAAACCAAAACAAAGCTCGTACTCCTCACAGTCACTCAAAACAGTTCCCCGGTATCTGATTTCATACAGAATTGCTGGATTGTCAGATCCAAGGATTCTCTCTCTGATTATTAGTCCTTCCATACCGATAGCATGATCATCACCTTCTAACAGAGCAAGTTCCTCAAGAGTTTGACTCTCTTTTCTATTTTGGTAAGCTTCCACAGGTTCCATTTTCTTTTTAAGCAATGGATGCGCCAGGTCTTCATATCTCATCTCCATTCCACGTTTCATGTAACTAAAAGCTTTCTCAATGTCACGAGATTTACCATTAGCAATGGTGGCACCAAGAAGTTCAAGAGCATCAATTCTCTGTTCCTTTGTACATTCCGGTCTTTTGATAAGATACTCGACGATTTCAATGGAACCTTTTTCACAGGCATAAAGAAGAGGTGTTAAACCTCGATTATTTGGCAGTTGTAATGCTCCAAGAGCCAAAAGTTGACTGACTATCTCCAAGTGGCCCCTATGAGCAGCGTCGTGAAGTGCAGTGCCGCCACCTTTGCATTGCTGATCCAGAAAGGCGCCTTCGTTACTAAGATAAGTAACAACACTTAAGTGGCCACAGTAGCACGCTGTCATTAGAGGGGTGTCCCCGCCGATATTTTGTGCATTCACATGTGCCCCACGTTCAACCAAACATCTCACAATGTCAAGGTGTCCTTCGTGGGAAGCAGCCCTTAAAGGCGTCGAATCCTTCGATGTTCTGCCGTCAACGTCTGCATTTCGTTCGATTAACAATCTCACAACATCAAGATGACCAGTAGCAGCAGCGGCCCACAAAGGTGTACAACCCTCTACAACTACGTCCCCTATCTTAAGCGTTCCTCGAGCATCGATGTCTGCTCCATAGTGTAGAAGAATCTTCACAGAATTCAGGTGTCCATTATGAGCAGTGATGATAAGAGGAGTGACAAAATGGCTGCCATCTTTAGTTTTCTTTTTCAAAGCGGTTTTTCTTTGTTCAGTTTTCAGCCGCTTTAAAAGATCGGTCAGATCAGAAGAACCGTTACGAGCAGCTTCATAAACTTTAGTTACAATATCACTCACGGATAATTTATCAGCCATTTTACATAAAACTTCAGTGAACCCGCTCTAGATGGAATTTACTACGTTTCGCTTGAAAGATAATACACTTGGGTAAGCAAAACAATTCACAACAAACAGACAGTTTGTGACGTCATAACCTCGTATAAGCAGATTCAAAAAATTCAATAGTAAGAATCAGTACGTCAGATCAAATGGCTGACGTTTAGTTCAGTCTATTTATTTTGGCAAAATTGTTCATATTATTTTATTTAGGTACAGGTCTTCTTATACGAATCATATTCATAAAAATTTAATTTTCTGTTTGAATAAACAACCAATCATTCGTGATACGCGTGATTTCCGACGATTATAAAAAATCATTAGATATCCTTTCGAGAAAACGGGAAGTGTCTCTGAAGTGTGGAACAAATTTGTCGTTTCAGGGGAGGTAAGGGAGCTCGCTTCATAATTTCTGCCTTTTCTCGTTATAAAGACTATAAAATTTCGGATGTAACGCAATCTAACCGTTGCAGTTCAGTGCCTAACTCTAATCACTATTTAGCCTGGGACAAGGCTCCGCAGTGGGGTAAAAAGGCGAAAAACGGGGTCAAATAGGAAAAAAAATCGGCGAGCCGAGCGGTATCTTCTCATTCCCAGACTACCTCTCGGCTCGCTTCGCTCGTCAATTTTTTTTTTTTTTTTTGGCCAACGCCAATTTTTTCTCCTTTTTCTCATAATGCAGAGCCTGGTCCGGGAAGGGTCTTAAAAAAACTAAATGCCCGGTAGTCAGAAAATGTTCTAGAATTTTTAAAAATCCCTTTTTCTAATCGTTTCAAAGTATTCTATCTTCTCATATAAAAGTCTCTCCCCACAAAGGCGGCGATTTGTTCTTCTGTTACCCAGGCCCGCGCGATTGACTAAATTTGCTGTCGCGCATGTCAGACAGACTTGTTACACATCAGGAGATAGTCAAGAATACCGTAAACGAGGAATTAAGCCGGTCGATGTAACTTTAAAAGCCTGCACTTTGGTCCGAGTTCCCGGTAAGTTAATAGTTTTTGCACACATTTTCCCCCTTTGCGGCTAGCGTACATACCATACCTTCTTACCTCGCACAGATACTAAACCCGAAAGACAGTATATTTCACAGACCGAAAGGTAGTGTAGATTAAAATTTCTCAGTCAGAGATTTGACCTTCATCGAAATTGTCTATTATTAATTCCTCGAAGGCTGCGTGACTTTCTTCGCTGTTTTAGAATACTCAATGAGTACTTTGATATTAAGGTGCTCTCTTCCAGCCTCTTAACATAAAATCTTACTAATTAAGCTTAATTCATCGTGACAATATCTTCATATTCCAGTCTTAACTTACTTGTTCATATTATTTGTTCATAATTTCGTAGTCATTGCCCAAGATCCCTCACTCGGTCGTGTTTTGATCACAATTTGATCGAACCGCACGGGAAGAATTGAAAAATGACGAGGGGAAAACTTTACTTTGGAGTTAGAAAATTAGCAAACTGGAAAGCCCTTATCATAGTTAAATATTTCAGTGGTACATTGAGTACTTTTTGTGTACAGAATCAGCACGACGATAAAACATCCGAGTATCGCGCTCGATTTTAGTGAGGCGCCGAAAGGGGCGTGGTCGCAAAATTCAATTAAAGACTATTTGTACCCCTTGAGTTTCATATGTTTAGAATTACCCAGCGATCAGCAAAACAAGAATGGCTTCGCAGCTGAGCTGATGTGGTTCCTTAGGCAGAGAGTATATAGAGTATATAGAGCCAACGCTGTACGTTTCGACACAAAAATGTTTTTGGAAAACTTTCAAAATTTCATGAGAAGCCGCTTCTCACGGCGTCACTCACGGGCACGTTTTCATCCAGGCTCACTACCCGGCAGTCTAAGGGAGGAAGCTTCTGCGCACAGGCTATTCACAGACGTCTCTATTCCCGATTTTTTTTTTAGAGGAGGGGGCGTCTGTACACGGGCTTGCTTTACTCTATGCCCAAGAAACCACAATCGCTCAGATGCGAAGCCAACTTGTTTTCCTGATCGCTTGGTAATTCTAAATAAAGATTATTTAGAACTAGACCTCCAAACGATTAGAAAAATGCATTTTGCAGAAATTCTAGAAATTTTCTGACTGCTGGGCATTTAGTTTTTGGGTTTTAAATTTTAAGTATGCTCTCTCCGTAACTGGTGCTCTAGTTTTTTCAGCAACTTCAATAGTTCAGCGAACCAGCCTTGTTCCACCAATTCACAGGACAGCGGAAATCTGCCAAATCCGCGTAGGACTGGGAAAAGGTCGCTATCTTCATTCAATAGGGAACTTAAGATGGAGACGTTAGGGAGCCTTAGCATCGACGACGGCAACGGCAGCGAAAACGTCAGTTTTACAGTGCTCGAAGGCTAAAGCATGTTTATGATTTCTCAGGCATTTAGTTATTTGTCTAGCTCTAGTTTTAAGCAAACAGTAGTCTTATATCTGTGGTGAGTCTGTCTAGCAGAAGTACTTCGTAGTAATAACGTTCGAAAACGTCGAAACGCCGTAGTATTTTTTAACGTTTTTAAAAATTTCTTAAAATATGTTTTTTAAAAAAGTTTTTTCGCAATTTTTTAGAGCTAATTTTTGTTTTTATAAAGTCGCTTTTTTTGAACTAAATTGCATAAAAATGGCAAAAAGAGCAGTTGAATGCAGGCTAATCAAATGAGTTTTCTCTCTCGCAATCGGCCAAAGCAATCCCCCTCTTTTTCGTAATTTCCAGAGCTCGTGATCATGTCTTTCATGCACTTTCGAAGGACCGTTTCGGTGCCAGTTGAAACATGTAAAAGGGAAATCACCAGGAAGTGCGGAATCAAAAGACGCCAACTCTAAATCAGTTTCTTTTGGTTCCTGAAAACAGCCAAGGCGCGGAGCAGAGTTTAGAAAAGTCTTCGAATACGTAGAAGCGAAAAATGGAGACGGTGAATTCGAAAAGAAGGTTCGTCTCGTTTAATGAACTTCCTATCAAACCGTCCTTTATTACTGTTGATTTGTTCAATAAAATTATGAATCACATGACCCCAAACGATTTCATAGAGCTTCCATTCCGTGTGAATCTAAAGCTTAAAGGAAGACTTCTACCATCGGTTACTTAAAAAAAACTTTTATTGCATTGTTTTACTAATTTTACATTCACCCCTTGGATTGTTTCTTAGAAATTGAAGTACTTGGCTTTTAACTGAAATTACAAACTCGAATACACTATTCAGTTAAACTCGCGCAAGTGAAATGCGGGAAGTGGGAACTGGTGATTTACCGTTTTAAAGATTAGACTTCCCTTATGAAAAATTTCTGGATCCACCTATGCAAGCTTAATCTGAAAACGAACATACCAATATTTCCCAAAGCAAAAAGAAATGATTAGTAAAAATATCTCTTCCTTATTTTGAATCAGTCCGGCTAAATCCTGATTTACTAGAGCTAAATCACCATTGCCCATTGATGAAGTTATACATTCAAAGAACTAATCTAAAGATTACTTGGCCTACTTTGGTATTTTATTGGCACCGTTTTTATTGGTGGTCAGCGTATGTGGATGACACAGTTTACCCTGTATCCTTTAAATCTTCTCTCTCTTTTTTTTTGGCTTTCTTGCTCTAACTTATTAGTTCTTTATGTCTTATTTATCTGCAGGATTTTTTTCTGGGGTTTATCGATCTTTTTAAGTCACAATCATGTTTTTTATGGAGAATTGTCGGTCCTCCAGTTATTTCTAATTGTCCTTCGATACTGGGCATACGAAGTTCACTCATGTGCGAATTTCTCCAATATTTTCGTGACAGAGTATCTATAAGAGTGACAGGACAATACTAAGACAAATAAATACTATGCGCGATTATTTCACATATTTCAAAGACCTATATATACTTTTAAAAGCTATCGCAGAGCCTATAGCTAATATCTAACCTACAGTTCGAGTTCAAAAAGGTTATGTTTTTTCATATGTAAATCAAGTCATCCTCGGTATGTATTACGACTAAGGTTGGGCAGCGGCCTAACTGAATGAAACAAATTTTAATGCTTACACGAATAAAAATGTGCTAGGCGTCCCTTTTTTTTTCGGCCTTTTATCACTTGTTCCATTCTTGTACCCAAAAGCTGCGATCCTTTTGGTCAGCGCCAGGTATATGGCGCTGACCAAAAGAATCGCGCCTCATACACTTGTTCAGATAATAGGAATTAGTGGCAGTTCAATGGAAGTTCAATCTGCCAAAGGCCTTGACAGTTTTTACCTCTAATTTTCTAACAGTACCTGTGGCCACAAACCTATACTGATTGATGAAAAAAGGTTAAATGTAAATGTTCTATTTATAGTGGAAGTGCACTTAGCTACCCAGCTACTTCACAGGCACCCCACTCAAACAACCAGAGACACATGATTTAATTCAAGCGTAGTACGATTTAAGACCCCACTTGGCAGGAGGCAAACCAGTTAGTTATTTACAGGCGACATCGAGGAGTTCAACTGAGGAGAACCGTTAAACCGATCTATCTAATGGTTATGGCGGGACTCGGGACTTCCGGATTGCGAGTCTAACGCGCTCACTACATTCATGACCACGCCGCCTTCTAGAACGTTTATAGAACAGCAACGTATATGTTGTGCTTATTTTATCCTTGGTTTAATTTTTATTTTTCCTTAATTTTTAGGCATGGTAATGTATAATAATGAGTTTGGAACAAACGAAAATAAAATACCTCCCCTGAAACAACAAATTTTTCCACACTTCAGCAGGAGCCGATTACTTTGACTTCGGTGACACTTACCTTTTTTACGTAAGGAATCTAGCGAGACACGGTGATGAGTGTATATAATTGGTGGGAATCACGCGTATTACGAATGACAGTTTAAAGCCATTGAGTGTTTATTCTAACAGAATAAAGAATACGGTCAGTATGAAAGATGGACTGCGGACTGCTGACTACGGACTGCGGACTAGGTATAAAATACGGACTAGGTATAAAACGCGGACTGGAACTGATGTGGAC